GTTGGGTTTCTGTAATTAACTTCAGAGTAGGTCTGACCTGCTCTGTTTGGAAAGATAACTGTTGTTGTGATGTGGAGCTATAGAAATTGAATTGAATTGAATATGACTAGACGCAGGCCCTTGAGAAATGGCGGTCCTGCAGAATGCTGAATGTGTGTGTGTGTGTGTGTGTGTGTGTGTTCCAGTCCCGGGTTTTTCTGGCCGGGTACTACCGGGACCACAACGTGGCTCTGCTGCGCCTGCTGACCCGGCTGGGCCAGACTCTGCCGGCGTGGCTCCGCCAGGAGCTGCACAGCGCCACCTGGAGCTGAAACCTGAAACCACGCCAAGACCCGGTCCAGAGTCAGGCCAGGGACTGTTTCTACTCCATACCTGATGAGGAGGCAGCAGAAACACACACTAAAGAGGCAGCGATTGGGCCCGTGTTCCGGGTTTTTCCTGTTTCACGGACACAAAGAGGACTGCACTAAACATGGAGTCTCTATTCAGGTGTTGCTCTCACTTCCATCCAAGTGGACTCCATCCACCTGACTCCTCCAGGATCGGCCAATCAGAGACGAGGCTGTTCAGAGACAGTTCTGCCTGCTGCAGGTCGGGCAGAAGAAGAAGAAGAAGGCAGGAAAACGACCGTGAAACGAGGACTTCAGTTCAGACTGAGGCCTGAAAGGAAACGGGTCCAGATGCACAGTGATAAAGTGGTAAAGGCGGCCTCCCATTGGCCCGTTTGGGCTTTGCCGACACGTTGATTGAACATTGTAAACTGTATGAAATGCGTTTCAGATAACATGTAACTGCCTGAACTTTATGCTCTTTTCTTGTGGAAAGTTCTGCCTCTGTAAAGGTTCCAGCGTATCTGCAGGACTTCTGCTGGTGTGTGCTTTACAGCCTGTAAAAGGACTTTTCAGAAATCACTGGGAGCTAGCTGTATTTCATAAATACACCCAACACACACATACAGGACTGTCTCAGAACATTAGATTGTGATAAAGTTCTTTACAGAAAATAAAGAACTTTATCACCATATTCTAATTTTCTGAGAC